GAGACCAGCGGCGCTCGCTGTACCAGCCCACGCCGCTTGGCCAACAAAAGGATCGGGCAGATCAAAAGCAAGAAGTTTCGTTGTTCAGGTAATTTCTTTCGCTCGCCAGCTACTTTTGCTCCCCTTCCAAAGAAAACTCCCACGCAGCCTCTCTAAAGAGGAGGGAAAGAAAATTGCAGACATCCTTCTCAGGAATCCTGTCTGGTGCTTAGCTGAGTTATTCAGCAATCAAAGGAAGTCTGGACTGGAACTGAAATATACATGGAGTAAGTAGCCCACATTTCCACCTTGGCTAAACACAAAGATATATATATATATTTCTCGCCACCTTGGTTTTTATATAAATTATATAGAAATTGACTATATAATGCTTTTTAATTTTGTACCAAGTCAGATCATTGGGCTATATTCCTCACAGCATTTTTTCTCCAATCCTGGAGTACTAGCAAAATCTTTTTTTTAAAAAAAGCCAGCAATAGACAATTGAAACATACCGTATTTTTCAGAGTATAAGACGCTCCGAAGTATAAGACGCACCTAGCTTTTGGGGAGGAAAGCAAAGGAAAAATATCTGCCTCCCAGCAATTTGCCTCCTTGCAACAAACAGCAAACAGTACAGAAGATATACACTGTTTGTGGTGTTGCATTTCAGGCTATACTCATACAGATGCTGTTAAAATTGATGGGGCTTTCTGGAAGTATACGCTGTTCTCTGCTATTTAAAAGAAGATACAATAGCACAGGGCCTCTTCAGATCAAGGATTTATTTTAAAAAGCTTCTACGTTTTGTTGAGCTGTCTAGAACAATAATAAAGCAGTCTTTAGAAAATAAGTCTCATAATTTGAACACTCTATGGGCATTTATAGGTATTGACTAACCTCCTTGCAGCAAACAGCCTGATTAGCACAAGAAAAATAATCTGCTTCTGCCTCCCAGCAATTTGCCTCATGGTACAAACAGCCAGTTTCACTTTCAATTTCAGCAGGGGCCTCCCGATCATCAGCTGTTTCAGGCTGCAGGGATTGCCATAGCCTATTGCAGCCCCCACAAGCCCCATTTTCCCCGTTTGCTGCAAGGAGGTAAATTGCTGGGAGGCAGAGGCCAAAGGGGGGGGGCAGTGGGTGGGTGGGGTTACATTCGGTGTATAAGACGCACCCAAATTTTTATCCTCTTTTATGGGGGGGAAGGTGCGTCTTATACTCTGAAAAATACGGTATGTCCTTCATATTACAGGGGGAAGCTTATATTGTATCATGATAAATTGTGACGTTTGTTTGTTTTTCTAATCTCACTCTATTTCCTCCTTCCTTTCTTCTAAAATCTAACTTGTAGCATCTGGTGTCCAGCTATTCTGCAGTTAATTCTGGTTTTTTTAAATGGCAAATTCAGGAATAATTTTTTCCCCTGGTGGTCACTTTCTGTCGTCCTTACTTAGTCTAATAAATGAATTCTTTGCTTGCTGACATTCCGGTTCCTATTTCTCTCTCTCTCTCTTTCTCTCTCTCTCTCTTTTAAATGTAGCTAAAGAACAGTATTTCATTCCAGGTAGGTTTGGCTGTGCGGTGCAATGAGTTGCGGAGTTGAGTTTGTGCTGCCACACAAGGCAATTTTTGTCTTAACTTCTAAGCACAGCGATGCATGCCTTTTAACCCTAGTAAAAACACCCTTTGGAGCAGGGCTCTCCAACCTTGGCAACTTTAAGACCGGTGGACTTCAACTCCCAGGGTTCTTCAGCTGGCTGGGGGATTCTGGGAGTTGAAGTCCACGAGCCTTTAAGTTGCCACGGTTGGGGAGCCCTGCTTGAGCTGCCTAGATCTCTTTCCAGAATCCGTGGGCTTTGCATGCAGCCCTTGATATCTGGCTCATAGTTTCCTGAAGGGGAACTTGCTAGGATATTTGGTCTTGCTATTCCCTGCTTCCTTTAACACCATTTTCCCTTCAAATCTGAGCTGCTTTAAAATGAAGAATCCTGCTAGGACCCAAGAGCTGAGAAAACCCAAAGAATCCTTCCCCGCTTTGCTTTTTTTACGCCCCGAACTCCGTTTTCTGCTTGTCTCGATCGATCCCTTTCTTTTCCCTTTGACTTTGGTTCCCTCTGCTTGCAAAATCACAAGAGTGCCAAGCCAAAATTTGTGGGGGATTTTTTTTCTCTTTGCACAAGGATCCACAGATTATCCACCGGTAACGTGCCACTATTTTTACACCACTTTTATTCTCCTTGCACATGCCACACACACCAACCGCATTGGCCGTTGCTCTTTGACCCATGCTTCCATTTCAATTATTTATTTTGCGTAGCTGATCTTTATCCCAATGTCTTCCTGATGATTCAAGGGAGGGATTCAAGGATCTGTTGTGGTCTGCGGGTGGCCTGAGGAGCTGGCAGCAGAGTCGGGCAGTGACGAGGTTTGGGGGAAACATGGGCCAGTCCTGGAGTCTGGGGAAAGGCTCAGAGGAGGCAGAGAGAGGACCAGGGCCATCTGGCTGTTATGTGCTGCCTTCGGAGCCTCCAGAGCCGGACATCAGTGAGGCAGAAGAACAAGGGGGAGCCTGTTCCCAGTGCGCACATGTGCAGAGCTGCCAGAACGCAAGAATAGTTAAGACAAAAGGGGTGACTCAAGAGTAAGGTGTGGAGATGAATGGCCGCTCCCATAAGATATAAAGAAGGAGCAAACGGACATGAGACTTTGCAGGAAGCAACTTGGTTCATGCTGGTCGGTTTAAATTCTGAAGCTCC